GTTTCCGATGCGATGAACCGATAAGGCGGAGTATATCCGTTGTTGCCAAACACGAGCACATAATATTATTATTGAGACAGGCCGGCACTCAAAGTTCTAAAGGGCTATAACTTTGTTACTTTAATTTTACCACAAAAATGTTAAAGGAAAAAAACATTTCTTTTGATCAGATCTACTCACTGTTAAAATAAATGACTCAACTTCGAAGTGTTGCCAGGCACGACATTGGCAAATACTATTTAAGCAATAACCGATTTAATATTTGAAAAATCTGCAATTTAAAATAGTTCTACCAAAGTTCCTGATTACTCTACAAACATCCAGTAACCCAATCCCGAAGGAAAAAGTATTGCTATTTTTCAATTACACTGTTCTGCACGAAAATTCTCTCCGCCAAATAAATACGTTATTTCGATAAATTCTACATATTTAACCCTTACAACGACCTTTAAATTGTCGTATCACATAACTGAGTCCAGAGAGTACCAACAACAGGCTTTAAGGAGGTGTAAGAATATACCTGTGCGATGTTTATCTTTCTATAGCATAATGGGCACGATGTTGCCAATTCTCCGTTTTCTCTTAGTCTAGAAAGTATTTACAATCTGGCAACACCGCATGGGGGTATCTGGGAATGGCCCACATCGACGAAGTCTCAACCTCAAATAAAGGAGATACCCATTGAGCCCCATGTAATTCCAGATTTCACCATACGCTATCGTAGTCGGACAGCTACTTATTGTATGGCCCCTGTATACAAAAATCGTTTCCGACCTCTTGATTCTCGCTGTTTCTAGAAAATACCACATGTTCGAAATGGGCAGCCAGCGGCTTGTCGGAGGATCGTCATTACAGTATTCAGCAGTGGATATATGAGCGAAACAATGCCGTTTTTGTTATATTTGTGGTGAGGTGACGCTGAAAGCTCAACGAAAGACCTTGAGCCCACTTGTAAGAAAAGTCTTCGAGTTATACTTCGGGTTCAAAGTTAAGCCTCCAAAGAAATATGATGAACCAGATAATGAGGAGCCAGAAGCCGGTCCAAGTTTTGAAGATGAAGTCGTTTTCAAATGTAGTAGCAGCAAAAAGTCTGAGGAATAGCTCAATGATCTAGTACGTGATTTAGATCTTCCCAAAAGAACAGCACAACTACATGGATCTCGCTTGCAGCAATGGAACCTTTTACAAACAGGTGTGAAGATTTCCACGTTTAGGAACAGGCAGTCTATGCTGGCCGTATTTTTCTCGATGGAAAATGACAATGTCATGATATTCCAGGTCCACTCAATGAACTCGGCATTTTCTAAGTACCTATCGAGTGGCGACTATTTGTTGACACAAGTCTAAAGGCAGTTTTGTTGTTCAATGGAAACAAACGGCCATCAGTTGCTGTGAATATGAAAGGAACATACCACAACCTGAGCATATTACTCCAAAGCATGAAATACGAATATCTGTGCTGATCTCAAAGTTATGCATTGCTCACAGGACTGCAGAGCGGCTTCACAAAATATTGTTGTTTTTTATGTGAATGGGACAGCAGAGCCAGAAACCCACATTATTTAGTTAAACATTGGTCGTTAATGAACCCTTAGTAGATCCGTAGAACGTTTATTGACCTCCTCGGCACATAAAACTAGGGCTTATAAAAATTTTCGTGAAAGCCTTAGATAGAGAAGGAAATAATGCATTCCTTCATTTGAGACGGAAATTCCCGTGTATAAGTGAAGCAAAGCTTGAAGAAGGAATTTTCATTGGACGTCAAATACGAGAACCATTCAAGGACCAAAATTTTAAAACTACACTTTCGAGAAAGGATGCATGGGATGCCTTCAAAAATGTCCTAGGCAACACAAAGTCGAAGAACTACAAAGATCTAGTTGAAGAGCTTATGCAATCTGATAAGCCCTTAGGTTGCAATATGTCACTTAAGCTGCATTTTCTTCACTCCCATTTAGAATTATTCCCTCACAAATTGGGTGCAGTTTCAGACAAGCACGGCGGAAGATTTCACCAGTAAATTGCTCAGATGGAGAAACGCTATAGTGGAAAATGGACCCCAAACATGCTAGCGGACTGCTGCTGGATCATTAAACATGAAACCGCTCCTGGCGAATACAAGCGACAGAATGAACTGTTTGATTGTTTTTTATACAATAAGAAGTATATTTTCAAAACAATTGGATTTGTTATTTTTTTTTAATTTTCAAAAATTCTCCACGAGATCGCTTATAATTTGAGATTTTCATAATTTATATTCCCTTCTTTAAAACCGTGTGGGTGATGGGGAGAAACTGACTGTATATTTGATCTTAGTACAACACAGTATACGCAAAAACCCAAAAAATTTTGGAGAGCGGCAAAAATTTTCAGAATGCCGAACAGCGCGCTTGATTAACTACAAAAAACAAAGGTTTACGCATATGTATACAGGGTGATGGGAAAATAGATGCGGAGCCGGTGGGGGGAGATAGTACAAGCCAATCTGAGTCGATGTTACTATAGAAACTACTGTCCGCAAATCAGCCGTTTTCGAATGATACTAATTTTTAAGATTTTATAAAATTAACGTCTTTTATACGTTAACCAAGTCATAAAACTTGAAGATTGGGTGTTTCATTTGATTTTTTTTTTGTTTTATAATAAGAATATTCTAAAATACGAAAATTGATACTCAAATGTACATTATTGACGTTATCTCATGCAGTAAGCTTCAAAATAGTTCAATTTTTGTTAAAAAAATCTTTGTTCATCTCAAAAACTCAATTTACTAGAAACAAACACCTACAAATTTTTCGTTCAAAACAATTTTAAAATATCTACGTTTCATTACCTTTCAAATGAGGTATCAAAGTCACAAACCGGTTTAGAAATGACAAAGATATGATGTGAAAGAAACAGGTAGAGCCGCGAACATCGGACTTTGCCACTGGAATAGTGTGATAAGTAAGACTAGTCACCCCCCTCCCACCCTCGCTTTAATCTGCTCTTGCGATTTGTTGCGTTCGGATGTGTTTGTTTGCTCGCTGTTATGATATTTCTAACGAGTTGGCTCTTGTTGGACTTCCGTGTGTGATTCTTTTCCTGACGAACTAGACTGTACCCTGTTTTCTGTGATTCCTTACGACTTGGCTGCTCTGTGACTTGATTGTTCGTTGATCTACCTATCGATGAACAATGGCCGTTCAGTTTCGAAGAATATGCCGATATCCTTTTCTACTATGGAGATGCCAGAGGCAATGCCGAAGAAGCTCGTCGTGAGTATGGGGAAATGTTTCCTAATCGTCGCCTAACTGACGCCCGCGTATTTAGGCAAACGTTCCGTCGGGTTCGAGAGCGCAGTACCGTTGTAAGATATCAAGGTAAGTTTGCATCATTGATAATTATTAACTTATCATAATCAGTCATTCAGTAAGGCCTATGTAGAGCCTTGGAGGTCTGTGGGCTGAACTGATGATACTGTAACATAGTTGTTTTGATACAGTTGATTGAACTTCTTAATTAAGAGTTTATTCATTTAATTTTAACACGAGCATCTACACAGCTCTGAAGATGGAAACATCCACACGTTGTGTATCGTTTTGCTATTTTATTTCAGGTGAAGCAGGTAGACCTTGACATGATGTGGAAGAAGAAGAACAAATATTAAATATTTTCCAAAGAGACCCTACTCTCTCTACTCGCGCTGTGGCTCGACGCAAATTTCTTAAGAAATGTTCTAGTTGAATTACTTGAAAACTTGCCGCTACACACAAGACACAGAATGATTTTTCAACATAACGAGTGCAAATCACATTTCAGACTAAGTGTTAGGAATTGGTTAAATGAGCTGTTTCCGAATCGATGGATCGGTAGAGGCGGACCAATCCCATGACCAGCACGCAGTCCCGATCTCACACCTATGGACTTTTTTCTGTGGGGTCGTATGAAAACTTTAGTATACTCTGATCAAAGACCACCGAAGCAGGATAATACATGCAGCACAAGAAATTCAAGCCTCTCTTAGGAATTCGGCGGTAGTAAAATCAGCTGTGCATTGTGTGCATTAGAAATAGAGGGCGCCATATTGAAAATGTATTAAAATAATAAAAAAATGTAGTTTCAAACATATTCTCCTGTATTAAGGTGTGATTTTGTAAGTGTAGTATTTTTATTGCTTTTTCCTTCCTCCTCTTATAATAGTCATATTTTTGCCAATTCTTAATCGATTTGTGATTTTTATACCTCATTTGAAAGGTAATGAAACGTAGATGTTTTTTAATTATTTTGTACGAAAAATTTGTATGCGACTTTTTCTAGTAAACTGAAGCTTTTGAGATGAACAAATTTTTTTTAACAAAAGTCGAAGTATTTTGAAGCTTACTGCATGAGAAAACGTCAATAATGTACATTTGAGTATCAATTTACGTATTTTAGAATATTTTTATTGTAAAACCAAAAAAAAACCAACCAAATTGCAAGTTTTATGACTTGGTTAACGTATAAAGGGCGTTAATTTTATACAATCTTAAAAATTAGTATAATTAGAAAACGGCTAATTTTCGGACAGTAGTTCCTATAGTAAAATCGACTCAGATTGGCTTGTGCTATCTCCTCCCACCGGCTCCGCATCTATTTTCCCGTCACCCTGTACAATGAGTATGGGGCATAGAATTAATTTTTTCAGCTTTTCTTTCGGTTATAGCACTTTTCCGGTACTGAATCTGAAAATATCTGAAATATTTTAAAAAATCTTGAAAAGTCAAGACCCTTCCGGTATTCCGGTAAATAAGGGGGAATCAAGAGTGTGAAACAGTCCTTCCAGTGCAGCCGCAGCTCTTTGGGCACCTTATGTCTGTATCAGCCCTCGTAGTTATATTTGCTTCGCCAGTGGATCCAACATCACATACATTATACGTATTCACAGAACTGAGCGAAAATGTGATATGTTTTGCAGCCACCACTAGGAAAAAATAGCATACAAGGCTACAACAATACAGCAACAACACTTAAGCGAGTACCTAACGTTAACTTTTCTCCTGAGTCCGGAGGTAGCGTAAATCCCAGAAGGGCCATCGATGAAATCAGTACACAAGGAACTATGAGGTTGAAGAAGTAGTAGAGTGTCCGCCTTCTTATCTGGATGGTAAACGTTACATCGACGTAAGGTTCCGGACAGCATTGGTACACGATGGTGTTCTTCTTGCCAGGCATGCCTGAAAATACGATTTCCAAATGAATACGATTATTATTTTAAGCTACGTATTTGAGACGTTATCATATTTACAAAGAATTGATTTTTTTTAACTGGGATACAAGAGAAGTAAAGAACGTCATATTCAGAAACTGCTAATGTATACATCTTACCGCTAGCTAAGTTATGATCTAATTGGTCATTGTTTCTCCTGACGGTGGATTGTTTGTTTTTATAAGCTACCACTTTCCACCCATCTTCGGTGATAACATTCTAGTTTGAATCTTTGTTTTGGATATTTATTGTTTGTAACTTGCCACATACATTTAGATTTGTTATTTGTTTTGCATTTTGTTTGCTGTGTGAGTTAAATGTCTACTAATTTCCCTATATCTTCCGCCATTGTTTGATACAATGTGATTAATTTCTCAGTTCTGGTATTAAAACAGTTTTATCTGAGATTGATGAGGTCTCTACACGTTTGTAAGGAAAGCTGATATTTAAATCGAGCATAAAAAAGTTATGGAAAGCTTCAAACGCAATAATTTCCATTGCATACTTCCAGCGAATCTTGATTTAGTAACTTTTGAGAAAAGCCAATTATATTTTCTTCCAAGTAGTGACATTTCCTGGCAATCTTAATCTGAGACACAATAGCTTCGAATGGACGCCATAATAAAGTCAGACTGAATGTTTGTTAGGAAATTATCGAGAAATGTTTTCTTTATATATATATATATATATAGATACCGAAGCAGCCGCGCAGGCAGAAGCCTAAATGCCGGAACACAATTTTGATAATCCAATTTTTAAACTGGGAAAAGCTTCCTCTTGTACACTGTTCCACAATCTCGACACCCTCGGGTCAAAGTTCAACACGGTTGGGATGGGAGGCCAAAGGCGGGTCTGTCTGGCAGGCACATCGCGCGGCGGCATCATGGAAGAGAGCAAAGCCCGTTGGTGTAGCGGTAGAAGAGAGCTAAATCGCCGACGGCTAGCCGGTGCGAAAGGGTCTCGGGACTGCCTCTAAGAGAAGAGTCATCGATGAGTCGGACAGTCCTTCACTGGACAGCATCGAGCATAAATAATGTAGTCGGGGCGGCAGCACCCCAAACATGTGAGCAATACTCGAGGCTAGCCCTAACAAACAGCCTAACTTTTTCCCAGCAGCTGCCGCTATTGACGAGATGTGATCGTGCCAGATCAGGTCCTCGGTGATCTGGACTCCGACCAGCCGAAATGAATGTATCTTTGACAGAACTCGGTCATCCATCGGAACCGGATGAGTGCTGGAACGCTTTTTGTTCGTCAAGGTACAGTACTGTGTTTTGTAAACATTGAACTGTACAAGATTGTTGCGTCCCCAAGCAGTGATAACCTCCAGGTCTCTCGTCAGAGAGGAAGTCGTCGCTAGTCTTCTTTTTTCCAGCTCTACGCCGGAGATAGGGTTGTCACTCTGGAAAGCAGGTCGTTGATATGGAAGAGGAACAGTGTCGGAGCCAAGACCGATCCCTGCGGAGCATCCGCGTTGACGTTGTGGGATGAAGAGGAGAACCTGCCAATCACGACGGATATCTTGCGGCCAGATATAAAGTCAGCAAAGCTTTTCTGGGAGGCCATAGGATGCAAGTTTGCTTAAGAGGGCAGCGTGCCACAGCTGATCGAACGCTTTCGTGATGTCAACAGCAACAACATGTACCTCACCATAAGACTGGCTGAGTTTACTCCACAATTGCGTGATGTAAGCTAGGAGGTGCCGCTAATCAAGCTGTGACGTTCGAGGTAGTCCAGAAGCTCGCGATTTATGCACCTCTCCGTCACCTTACTTATAACAGAAAGCAGAGCTGTGGGCCTGCAGTTGTAAGGTTCGGTCTTAGATCCCTTTTTTGGGATGGGTTGGAGATGAGCAAATTTCCAGATTTCTGGGAAGGTGCCAGATTCATAAGATAGGAGGGGGCGTCCATGGTGGAGTTGGCAGCAAAGATCTTGGCGAGCACTTCCGCCTTGGTCTGACACGTAAGTGGTGGAAGGCTACCGTATGAGAACGTCTTTCCAATCTGCTTGGCCAGCGTCCAGAAAGACCGACTGCCATTGCGCTGCGACATTACCCTGTGCCTAATTTTTATATCGTGCTGGTTTTTTGCATTGTGAACCGCTTCGTTATATCTGTTTCTGCACTCGACGTCAGCTTGTCTGTTCTCTACAGTGGGGTTTTGTAAAAAGGTTCTGTGTGCCTTGATCTTCTGCTGGCGAGCAGTGTCACACGATTTGTTAAGCCATGTACTTTTTACAATGAAGTATTCCTGCTAGGTACAGCCTGCGGAAATCAAATTTTAGTCTAACAATGTTAAAAATTGCTTATCTCAAAATTATCATCGGGGTCTTTATGTCCTTAAGCATTGAATATACCCATTTTTAGAGGTTTTCAGACATCAATTCGCTAGTTACTCGAAAAGGGCACGGTTTGGAGAAAAGTTGCTTTCACCAATCACATCCGCAAAATCTTGATTAACCACCTGTTTTACTTCGACAACTGACGGCATAGTACTGTAATCGTAAAAAATTTAAACAAATTTAAATTTCGTTCGTAGAAAAAATTTATTTCATTTGTTTTAGCCTAAATGTTAGTATGTTCCAATAGAAATATGTATTTATGTAATATTTACCAATTATTAATTTAGTTTTTTCGTTGCCATGGCTAATTATTCAACAATTGATTTAAATTCCCAGTACATTTACTATCATGTGACAATTTTTTTAGTTTGATTTTATTCAAAAATGGCACAATTTATCGATACTCAATAAGAGACCTTTTTTATGTAGAAAATCCTAAATTTTCAAATTCTAAAATTGAATTTCAAAAATAGAATTACACAAAAATTTTGGGGCTAAAATAACCTGAGTCCGTCCCTGTTACAAACGCTTCCAAACAAAACTGTCTGAAATTGTTAATATTTTTAAATCCAGCATAAAAAACTAGGCTAGAATACCAAATTTTATTTCTTTATCTCAACACGTTTCGGAAATATTAAGGAAAAACCATCTTCAGGGGAGCCCCTTTAAAAGACCGTAGCGCCCTTAAGGGACGTTTGTCGACCTATATTTATATAAACTTTTCTTCCTATTTTAAGCTCTAGAAACCGCTCGTAGAATATTGCACACTTTTTTCGGGACACCCTGTATATATATATATATATATATGCGTTATGCTTGGAGTGTAATTCCATGATGTTATTTGATTCCGTGACGATAAATTATCAAGAGCTTTTACAATTAGTTATCAAACATTGTTGACAAGCAGTTTCATACTGGGGCTCCAAAGAGATGAGACTCCCGTGTATGGATACGGTCATTACTGAAATCGGAGGAAACTTCTTCTTATGAAAAGCCCACATAGTGCATTACTGGTAATGACAAAATCTACGTCTTTTTGATGTCAAGTTTTTTCGAAGGCGTGAGAGGTATAGAGTCACTCTACTTGATGAGATTTTATTCTAAAATCCTAACAAACAAGTCACGTGCCCCCTGCGGAAGTGACCTCGGTGGAAACAGGTATCTATTCGTCTTGATTCTGCTTTTTATTTCATCACTGTAACTCTGAAGAAAACTTCAAAGAACTGAAAGTACAACATGCAATTTATGCCGTTTTTATCGAATATCTGGTCTGGTACGCGTGCTCCGAGTTTCGATCATTAAACTTCCTCTCTAATTTGACGACGGAAGGGGAAAAACTGATGGTACGCCCTTTGAGCGGCTCGAAAATTGGCAATTACGTATAAAACGCAGACCCGGAATTAAATTGAATGGTTGCTTTGTAATTTTGAGCTATTTATGAACTTACAAGGAGGGATCATCAGGACAGGAACACGGACTCCACCTCAACAGCATTTTGTCCAATGCTCATGGAAATTCTATTGCGCAGAATGGCGCTGTGAGTTGAATAAGCTCAAAGGTACTGATTTCTCGAAGCCCTGACATGGCGTGTCTGATAATTTTGATCTGTTCTGAGTTCAATGAGACTGTACAGGGTGGCTCATCCATGTGTGGACGGAATATTACTCATAAACAAATACATTTTGGGAAAGTCTATTTATGGGATGTTATACATGACATTTGAGGGCATATTTCTAAAATATTGGTCATTATACACGGTGTCCCAATTTCGACCTACATATCACAGCTGTGATTTTTCAAGTAGAATGCCTCAAATTTTATTGCATATTTGGATAATCCAATTTAAAAGATGAAAATTGATACTATGGGGTTTTGGTAATTAGCTACTGAGATATAAGGTGTTTTGTCTAAAGAAAAACCCTCTTCGGCAGCCCCTCAGTCAGCCATTTTGAAATTTGGAGTGCTGAATTTTGTGCCAAAGAAAACTTACACACCTCAGCTTTTATCTTATTTGTTACTTTTTCGAATTTTAATTTTTGCTCATACAGGGTGGTCAAAAACGCAAATTGTGGTGTTTCTCAAGAATTTCAAATTCAACACATATTTGTGCGAATTTGGATTCACTTTTTAATAATCTTTTTTTTTCATACTAGACACAAGGGATTTTACGGCTATTTTTTCGGTTATTAATTAGCACGTCTTTTATGGAACGACTTAATTCCCTAAAATATCGCATCATCCTTGGAAACAAATAAATTGTTGATTAGTTACAAACTGTCAAAATTAACTTTGTGAGCATTATAATAAAAACCTGTTTGAAATGAAGAAATGGTGAATATGGTGTTCGTTTTGGGCGAAGCCCAAAGAAATAGTTTCGTAGCATCTCGCATTTATAAGCAACAGTACCCTAATATGCGACATCCAAGGCCGGAAACGTTTTCCACACTACGCGAACGTTTTGAATCAAGTGTAGCAGTGGAATATAGTAAGAAATGTATAAATAATCCAAGTGTCACCAATGAGGCGAATCAGTTGGAAGTTCTATTAAAGTTGCAGGAAAATCCCCATTTAAGTGCACGGCAAATTGGAGCAGAAACTGATATATGCAGAACTTCTTTTAAATATGTA